CTGGCAGCAGTGCAGGCGGTAAGACGGACAGCACAGGCCATGCAGAGCCTCGCCTCGCGTCTTGCCCTCAGTCCTGCAAATGCCTGGCACGAGTGTGCGGCCTTCGGGACGGCTGTTAAGCGGGTCCTCAAGAATCGACATGGTATTCAGGCAAGTGGCGACTTGCGCCTTGAAGTTTTGAGATTGGGCCTGTGACCTTGTCATGATTTGCTCATGTTGTTGCTGTACTTGTACGTGTATGTTCATTTTGCAGGACTCGGGATCAAGGTAGTTGTCTGTGATTGACATTCCTTTGATGGCCTCCTTGTTGTGTGTACTTTACGCTGAGCCATTTGCGTTAGGCATATTCCCCCTATGTTCTTGTGTCGCCATAGGCAATTGATGGACCTGGGGCCGCGGTTTTTTAAGTGAATAGGTCATCTTTGCCAATAACCCAGTGCACAAACTGCATTTGAAGAACTTGTAGTGCTCTTAAGTTTGGGTCGGTTCAACAGAGGCATGGTGGAAGGCTGGCAAATGACGCAGAGCGTTGTGCCACGCTTTTGATCTATTACTGATTTCTCTTTACCTCTTGTATCGGCTTCCCTACTCGTTTTTTTTTTTGGGACTTCTGACTGCGGTTAGCTTGCGAAAAGCTGGCCTTGGTGCTTGTTCTTCTAAGTGAAGGTTTGTAAAGTTGTAGCAGATTTATTTTTCATTGGTGACATGTGCGATTTTTCCATGCTGGTAGTGTTTCTTGCATCGAAAATAGAGTTCCAGCAATTTAGAGCACCTAAATTATAGTGGTGAAATGTAAGTGCCTCCTTGATGGAGATCGTCGTCATTTTTGTTACTCATCCTTTAGAAGTTAGGTATGACAAGATTGGATTGAGTCGATGGCGTAGAATGAATCGCCTCATTAAGGAGTGGGAGAAGTTCATTTGGGTAGCAAAACAAGGGAGGAAGTGCGTTCAAAGGCGTATTCATTGCATTGCCTCACACAGTGGACGGGTGTCTGTACTCATGTGACGATGCGTGACCGTCATTTATAATTTGCGCTACCTGCACGCAGGGAATTGGAGGGCAGTAGGATAGATGCAATTTGGTGCGAGTCTCGTGCTGCTCTGGAAAGGCCAGACCACAAGACTGGAAAGATGCGTGCCATATACTGGCAGACTATCAGAGCCTCTTGGAAACTTTACTTTTATAGCATTCGTTTGGTTTTCTTTTTTTGCTATTTTGGCACTTTCAATCGATCGTCTGCTAAAGCGATGGATTGAAGGCAGTAAACTCGCCTTGTTGCGCCTAGTGGAGCGGTAGTGCTGTTCCATACTTCTACTTGTTTTAAGGTATGCTTGTGTCTCATTCATTCCAGGATACGTATTTCAGCCTCGAGCACGAAATTGAAGAACGGCAGAGGAGTGAGACCCTTGGTAGCACCGAGCGAACGACGAAAACTGCGGCGGCTGAGGATAAGCAGGGAGTGTCACAGCCCTGGCTCTCCCGTTTTACGACGGTGCCGTGGAGCAGTGCTAGTAAAAGGAAGAATCGGCCACTTAGTGAGGTATTTTTTTTTGACTTTTGTCCTTTTATTTATCCATGCTTCTCTACCAACAGAAGTATGCTAAAGAAGTCGGAA